AAAAAAAAAAAAAAAAAAAAATCAGTTACAGGAAGGCCGACAAGCCAGCGGCCAGGGGATACTCGGCACAACATAGAAAACCCCAGACGACGGTAATGAGGAGGAGGGAGGGAGGAGGGGAGGAGGGGAGGAGGAGAGGAGGAGGAGGAGGAGGAGGAGGAGGAAAAACATCAGCAAACATCAGCAAGAACCGTGAGAAGAGGAGGAGGAGGAGGAGGAGGACGACGACGAGAGGAGGATGAAGAAGAGAAACACCAGCAAGAGGAGGGAGAAAGGGAGGGCGGGGAGAGAAGGCAGAAGAATAACATCCGAACGAAGAGGGGGAGGAGGAGGAGAGGAGTAGAGGAGAGGGAGACGAAACGCATCAGCAAGAGGAGGGAGAACAGGAGGAGAAGGAGAAGGAGAAGGAGGAGGAGGAGGATGACGACGACGGTCCCGACAATGACCTTGAAGAAGAGTATGGGGTGGGGAATGCAAGAGAGAGAACGGGAGCTAAGGAGAAAGAGCAGAGGACGGCGGAGATGGGGAGGGAGAATATTGAGGGGGAGGGGGGAGTAATTGGCGGCGGGGGAAGGGGTAAGTGGCGGGGGGGGGGGGGGAGAAGGGGGGGGGTATTCGAGAGTAGAGTAGGGGAAAGATGTTGGAGGAGAGACAGAGGTGGCAGGGGGTACAATGTGCATGGATAAACAGGGCGGAGGAGAGAAAGAGGTGGCAGGAGGATAGACAGGTTGACGAGAAAATGAAGGCGTCGAGGAAATTACCGTAGCGCGCACAGAGTACTTATCTTTCTTCTTTGCCTTTTTCTGTTTTCTTTTTCTGTTTTCTTTTTCTGTTTTCTTTTTTCTGTTTTCTTTTTTTCTGTTTTGTTTTTCTGTTTTGTTTTTCAGTTTTCTTTTTCTTCTTCTTAACCAATTCCTGTCTGGCCCTGAGTAAAGATCGATGGGATTCCACAAAAAAAAAAAAAGAAAAAAAAAAAAAGAAGATTCAGAAGAAGAAGAAGAAGAATAGTGACATAGTGAAATCGATGGGAGATATGGAACGGATCAAGAGAAGAAGGCACGGGGCTAATTCTTCAATTTCTTTCTTCTTGTTTTTTTTTTTCTGAGTTTCCCATTGTTAATATTTTTATTTTTATTTTTTGGTTTTG